ATGTCTCATCGGTCATTGTCGATCGAGCCAAAGCGTTTCGAGAGGGTGGCTCTGCGCCGCGAGGCTACGCCACGGGCAACGGGGCCATTCTGTGGGCCATGAACATCAACGCCAACCCCATCATCTTCTGGACGATATGGTACATCTTTTCCAACCCATCTCTAGTCGAGGAACTCCGGGCCGAGGTGGCCCCTTACGTGCGCTTCCGCCGGCCGGCCGCCACGGGACTCCCGATCCAAGAGCACCCCAAATTGGAGATTGACATCGCCGCGCTGTGGAGCAAGTGCCCGCTCCTCAAGGGATGCTTTTTCGAGGCGATGCGCCTCGAGGTGCCGAGCATGTCGTACAAGATGGTCGAGGAGGACTTTGTGGTGTTTGAGAACGACGAGGACGCGCGGCTGCTGGGCAAGAAGGAGCCGCAGAGCTGGCTGCTCCGCAAGGGCGAGTACCTCTGCCTGCCGCACGGCGTGCACCAGAGCGACGACAAGTACTTTCGCGACCCGGAGCGGTTCGATCCCCGACGGTTCTGGGCCAAGGACAAAGACCACGAAGGGGGTGCAGGCGGTGGCGACAGCGACGTCCGCGTCGAATACGGCACGATGAAGGTCTGGGGCGGCGGCAAGCAGATGTGCAAGGGCAAGACGTTTGCCGAGCGCGAAGTCGTCCTCTTCGTCGCCGCGCTGGTCATGCAGTGGGACATGGTCCCCGTCAGTGACGGCGGGAGGTGGGTGCACCCGGGACGCAAGATTGGGGCTGGCGCGGTGAATCCGACAAGGGATGTGCGTGTTCGGCTGACCAGGCGAGAGGGGTGGTGATGAAAAGGGGAAGAGGGTTGTCGAGAGACTATCCGGTACTCGTAAGTACCTCCCTGGCTATCTAGTTAGTAAGTAGGAGTTCAGGAGGAAACCGTCCCATAGCTCGAAAAGCAGTGCTTCTTCTTCTTCTTCGTGGGTGTCGGGCTGTGGCTGGCAATAAAACTAGCTACTATGTCTCAACTCCTCGCATTCTCTACCGTCCTCTTACGTTGCCCAGACCGCAGTGTGAGGTACCTCAGAATACAATAATTACCCTTTGTTGTCAAGTCAGGCACCCAGGCAGCCAACTTCTATTCATGGCGGGTCACTCCTGGCAGCTGGATACGATGTGCAATATATGTTACTTACTGGGTTGCGCCACCGCCTAAGAAAGCAATGCTATGTACTGCTTGGACTATGAAAAATCTGGCGTTGATTGTTCTTGCCTTGCCATTGCTTGCCTTGCTAGGCTTCACCTCCAGCATCAGCATCGGCATCAGCCTGTCCATCACTCCTTGATTGGCCCATCATCCAATCCGGAGGTTAATTATGCTTGTGCTTGAACGGTTTCCGCTTTCGGTATTTCCGCATTCAGCAGTCAGCCTCTCCGCCTTTCTGCCTTTCTGCCTTTCTGGGACGACGTGTGTTTCTGTCTTGATGTGGTATTAAATAGTACGATATCGTGAGGTATGGTAGGGTATGCATCCCGTGTTGAATCCCAGCTGCACTGATTTAGATAGACACCAACTATTCGAGCGAGAGCGGTCGAACACATTCCGCATTTGGCGTTGGGCATTGGACATTTCCGCATTGGGCACTTGTTATTTCATGCAGGCCAGCTTCTTCAATCAGAGAGCCAATCATGAACAAAAATAATGATATATATATCACCGAGTACGACGTTACATAGGCCACATAGGTTACCTGTTCAGCCGTGGCTTGCGCTTCGTCCCTCGCGTCAACTTGACGCTCTCTCTCGAAAAAAAAAAGAAAAAGAAAGCAATGCCATGGAATGCAATATAGGGCAGGACAAACCAGTCAGCCGGCCACCACCATCGTAGACAGCACAGAGAGAGATACAGTTGACTGAGAGGAATAGAACGATTGCCTAAATCGAGATGCTTCCACCGCTGTTTCCTATGTATGGCCCGAAAAAAACACCCTCCGTTCAGGCCTGACCTGTTCTGATCCGAGCAACCTCGTATAGTAGAGAGTGAGAGTAAGCACCACCGCCCGCCCGTCCCTCCTTTTGCGGGGATGTGGTGTCGGGAATACCAGTGTAGAAACAGATTCTCTTTTCGGAAGCCACATGATGTCTACTCGTTCTCGTTCTCGTTCGCGTAGCTGGGCGTGTCATGTCATGTCATGTCATCTCAGGCGTGCGCGGGTGGGTGGTGAGGCTAAACGAGACACATGAGAAACGAGGTCAAATGGGCTATATTATCCAGTTGACGCCCTGCAGGACATGAGACCGCGATGCTGGCTGGCTGGCTGGCTGCACCGAAACAGACAGACGGACAGACAGACAGATTGGATACCAGAACCCGGAGAGAGGGAGAAGAAGAAAAGATATTTAGGAGACGGCCGGGTCAGAACTTGCGCATTGCATATTGCGTATTCTTCACCCTGACTGCTGATTGTGAAAGGCAACAAGACTTGTCCTGCCTGGAACACGGTCCATACCTTTTCATCCTTGAAAACAACAACCCCCAGCTCATCCGCATAGAAAATGCGTTTCACCAACTTCCTCATCGCGGGCCTTGCTCTCATTCTCCCTGTCGCGCTGGCCACTCCGGTCCCCGCCACCGGGCAAGAAGTTGGTGCTCATCCACTAGGTGACGAGCAGCTTGTCAAGGTTCGTCCACAGTTCTGTCCTCCCACATACATCTTCACTCTTATTCATGTCAGGAGCTCTGCCTTCGTTGTGGCAGGGCGACAAGATATCATGAGTTTTTCATGTCCAACGCCCTGGTCTTGCAGCCAGCTAACTGACTTTCTCGGGTTGACATAGCGAGGCAATTCCGGGACTTGCGTCAACCAACGTTGCGTGGTGAATCTGAAGACCGGAAAAACTTGCATCACAGCCTACTGCACCCTCGCCGGCAAGGAGGGATTGCAGTGCGTCTGTATACCATTGACCGACTAGGTACGAGGCAATGGTATGGAAACCCGAAATTGCCTGTGACCGAGGGGTGGATTTTATGACTGGTCGTTTGCGATGGGGAATTGTTGGAAGATGTATCACTTGACATAACCGCTTTGCTCCGAGTATTCCTGGGGTCTGTATTCGCACAACCGTGATGCATGAGAGGGTGTCTTTGGGGTTTCCTGGAGTGCGATCCAGGCCCGTCCGGGTACTTTATTCCCTTTGTCTGGTTGTTCATGCTCCTCTGTACCGAATTGGTCTTGTTGGTTTGAGTGTCCCAAGATATTCAGGCGAGGATTGTTCCGAAAGATGGACCTTGCTCCTGGATGATCGCTCACGTCTCTTTCTGCTCCCCGTTCCTCACTGGTGTTTCAGACTTCTCACCACCTTCATCAAGCTCAGGCCCCTGCGTGTTCGCGGCCTCCTCTTTCGCCTCTTCTTCTAACTCCCCACTACCGCTGCCACCCGCTCCAATACTTTCGTCACCGACACCTTTTTCTAGTCCTTCGCAGTGCCTTAGTATCCAGTCAGCACACTCCTTTGCGCCGTCCTTCGAACTCATCTCCGCTTCCACCACGGCGTCTCGCCCGGCCTCGTTGACAATCGTAGGATCTGCGCCAGCCTTGACCAACGCCTGGACCACATCCAAGTGTCCGTTCATCGCGGCCCAATGTAACGGCGTGTTGCCAGATACGTTCCGGTGATTCACGAGCAAAGGTGCCGACTTGTCCGCCGTCGTCGCCGAAGGTGAGGTACCCAGAGACTCGGAGGGTGCGAGCAGGGACAGGAGGTGCGCGATGATCTCAAGATTGCCGTTGGCCGCGGGGTAGTGAAGCAGCGAGGACTGCGAACCGAGACCGTCGGCATCGATGTCAATGGACGAGGCGAGCAGGACCGAGGGCGGGCATTGGTGTGTGCCACATAGCGAAGTGACCAGCGACATCAAGCTTGCCAGATCGCCCGTGCGTGTGAAGTAGATGAGGTCGTCAAGTTCATCGGGCGTGGGTGTGGGGAGGGTTGTGGAGGGCATTGTTCGAAGGTGTTCTTGGAAGTTTTCTATTCAAGAAGAAGGTGTTGAACTCGCCGTGAGCCGCGTTTATCGATTGATGGATATTGCACGAGAATGATAGCAAAATACCCCAAAGGGGGAAAAAGCGTTGATCGGCAAGGAAGACTGGGTTATCATCGAGATTGAGATTCAAAGACAGAAGACGGCGTGTTTGGAAGAATAAAAAATTAGTGGCCCACACCGCAAAAGGCCAATTGTGGCCGGTAGAAGAGTGACGTCAATGGGTCGGCAAGGAAGTTCACAAGGAAACCTTATTGGCATCTCCTGCTTACAAGGGACACAAGGCTGTGAAAGACCAGAACACTCAGTCCACGGGAACAGGACAACACAGCGTGATACGGACATGGACAGGAAAAGGAGCAAACATGAGTTCTTTGGAATTGTGATTTCTTTGCATGATTGTCTAGACTGGTTCAATCTACGGATACTCCTCTCAATGTCTCACCCACGGAGGGCTGCTCATCTGGATTTGTTTCTTCATGGCCACATATGCTGTTGTACTCGTCAGAGCCATTCACCTAGACAAGACATGTCCATCCCAAGAGACGGATTGGCATTGTGGACCACACATAGAAGTGAATAGTCGAGCGACCAGTTACTCTGAACAATCAACCTCGTCTGCTGTTCTGCACCAATGCATGAGTGGTGCGGTCAATGCAGTCGACTAGTTGTTTCTTTTTTTGGTGTGTTTGAATTTGGTGTCTGCAGCTCGTTTGTTTTCGCTCGGTTGTGATTGCATGTTGGACCTGAAAGCCGTTCATCCTCCAACTTGTAGCTTTTGTCCAGGGGGGCGACCAAGATTCATGTCGCTTTGTGCAATTCTTTTTCTTTCGCCAAGGTAATATCGTACATGGCAGGTTGAGCGAGTTTGTCACCGACCGCTTGCACCAGGTGTCCGTGAGGCCAGCAAAAATTCCGCTGCTTTACGTTGAGAGTGGTTTCGCCAATGTTGGGATCACTGCTACAAGAAGAAGCGGGATCATTTGAGGGCTCAACCACCTTGCACATCTGGCAAGCGGACTGCGATATCTCCGGACTGTGTGATGTAGCGCACCCATGGCAGGGATGGATATTGCAGCTGTGTAGCGTTAGAGGCCGTCACTGACAGTCAAGGGAGGGACACAAACCTTTGGCTCGATGATCTTCAAGTATCGCACCTGGATCCCACTAGTGGTGAAGTAAGGAATCTCGAACTTGACGTTGATGGGTCTCTTGGCCTTTCCTTCGCCTGTAATGCCACCCATACTGCCACCGAATCCACCTGTCATGCCGCCACCACGCTCATCGTCTCCCTTGACACTAGGAAGGCCTAGCTCCGCTCGCATGAGGAACTCCTTACCACCACCAAACTGCTTGATCTTCCAGACGATTGCAGACTTCTCCGGCGCGTAGTGCACAGATCCAATATTGGTGCGGAATCTTGGAGTGTCAGCATCATCAGGAACAGGGATGCTGATCTCAACGTTGTTGGCAGTCGATCGTCGCTTGAATTGAGCCTTCGCCTTCAACATGTATTCGATTCTGGAACCAGAATGGGATTCGACAACACACTCGACCCAAATCAATGGCTTGACCGCGGTATTGAGGCGATAGCTCATCAGCTCGAACTCTCCGTCCGGTGGGATGAAGCTGATGGTACGGTCGTTCTCAAAGCGGGACAATCTGACGCACTGGTGAAACTTGACATCTTCCATTTCGACAGCTTTGCCTCGAGTGGATCTTCCAGTGGTTTCGAACATGACCTTATCATTCAAACCAAGGCGGAGTTCAGGCATGCCAGAAAGGTAGCACTTCATCTTGATTGCACCCAGAATCTCAGATCGCAGGACGTTGCCAGTGGATGACACCAAGAGGTTGAGAGACTCGATCACGTCGAGGAAGACCTCATTCTTGCGATATCTGATGCCTTCACTTCTCCAAGACACCGCATTGGTGACGGCGATAGGAGGGCGCGCTTGCACCTCGAGCTTGTGAGACTCTTGGGTGATGTACTCCTGAAGGATCTTGGACTCGGTGGTTTGAGGGTATCCAAAGTCCATCATTTCATCAAGCAGCTCATAGATGATGACGAAATTGTCTCGGATTGACTCCTCTTCCAACTCTTTGAAGTACTCAGTAAAGACCTCGACGATCTTGTGGAGGAACAACAGAATCTCTGCAGCATTGGTGTTGCGCTTGGTGAGAGCGAGGAGGTAGAGATTGTTGTGGCGGATGTAGAGGTACTGGAGAGTGGTTAGCTGAGATCACATTCATTGAGAAGACTGGCGACGAACATTGATGCCCTCATCAGAGAAGCATGGAGGGACTGCAGAGGACTCCTCTTCGGCCTCGGAAAGAAGGATTGGGAATTTCTCCACGGCGGACATGGGAATATCACCACGATAGTTGCGAGCAAGAAGAGTCTGAGATGCGTCAGTATCATGTGTCATGTTATCCAGTGTGGCGCGTTCATGTCGCTCACCTTGCCCTTCAAGTCGAGGAAGAACACCGCAGACGCCATGGTGCCTGGAGACTCCGAAGAGAGAGGGGTAGAGGAGGAGCAACGACCAGATTGCAATGAGACGATGAAGAGGTCAGGTTGACGATTGAGAGAAGTAGCGCATTACGCGAAAGATAATGGGGTGGAGGGGAAGGTGAGAGGGTGAGAGTGGAACGTGGAATAAATATTTATGGAGATATTGAATTCGTTTACGTTTACGTTTACAAGTCCAACTCCGCATTGTACCAGACCCGCACGTGTCGCAGCCTCGCGAAATATTGAAACCAGTGCAGCCTCGTGCAGCCTTGTTCAGCCTTGTGACCACCTGAGCGTGGCATTCCTCCCAAGAATCACATCCTGCAACAAGATGTCTCATCCAGTGCCCTGACCCTCTATAAATCTCTGATTCACGAGGATACCCAGCGCTTTGAAATGATGGGAAGGTCTTGGCCACGGCCGCAGCATCACTCTGTGCATCTTTTCACCCCATCTCCCTACTACATCGACAGGGACTCTAGCGATGACGAAAGTTCGCTGGCTAATCTCAAGCTTGCAGGTCGTCCAGATGCTATCACGGCAGCTCCTGAGATCCCTGAACCGCCCTGCCCTGCGGCGAGTACATACACTACAGAGGAATGGAATCGAGGAAGAGACATTGAAACACTATTCGGAATCGACCTACAATCCTGTTCATTTGAACGAGATCTTCAATGATCGCTATCAAGCGGCTGCGAAGCTGGGGTCGGAGGCTATCCTACCTTGTGGTGGTCCCGAGATCTGCAGTAAGATACTCGATCTCTTCTCACAAAATTGTGTTAAATGACAAAAGGGACAATTCTTTCGAGCTCTTGAACATAGGGGTTCGCATTCGAGGTGAAGACCGAGAGTTTCTGGTCCAGAAGCATCCGAAGCAACAGAAATCATCGCATGATGGACTTTATTGTGTTAGAGGAACTTCCGACTCATTTTACATTCAGGCTAGGCAGGGCAGGCACTGTCTCGCAATGATGGTGTCAACTCTGGGACCTCCTCCTCTGGAACTGCTCGATTCGAGTCCTGTTCGAGGTGAATACTTTGACGAAGCAAGTGAGCAGTCCCAATTCTTGGTTCTTGCAGATTTTCGAAGCTGATCGAGATGGAAATGCTCAGCGGCTCAATGGACGGGAATGGCAGTCTCTCCTTTGGAGCTGGAAGAGCGACTCGAAGGCACAGACGCAGGGCTCTTTGTCGATTTCATCAAGTGTATGATTCGTTGGAATCCTGAAGAGAGGAAAACTCCTGCCGAAATGCTGCAGCACCCTTGGCTTTGTCCTTCTTGACGAGTTGGAAACTTGGTGGATCAACAATTGGTATTCGGTAGTTTTCACAACGCTTCCGCCGCCAAGCCAAGGCGGTCCACCCAGAGAGCCTCGCCTTTAGTTAAAAATGTTCTGGGCCAATTTTCCTCTTCTCTTTTTCCAAATCCAACGCGCCCGAAAGACAGTGCAATGCAGCATCTTTGCCTGAGACTGTGGACATTCTGTTCGCAGTCTCGTGGTTCTATTCAGTTGCCGACCTTTGCGATTTAGAGGCGCGGAGACCGATCGAAGTTTTTTTTAAACTTCGTGGACGGTGCCATAAGAGCTGGCTGAGCATGAATATTTTATTTCGACGGTTGCTTAGGCGGTGTCAGAGGCCCCAGACATTTTTTCTTCTATCTCCTGTACATGCCCGGTGATGGCGGTATATTGCCAATGGCTATTAATACACATGTGCGAGTAATAGATACCCCAACGTTGCGGCTACGGCTGCGCCAGCTCTGCCTTTGGTTTCCAATTTAATTTCAGCCCAAGAGGCACCAGCACCTTCTCCTTTGCTATTTGGTTCGCCACGGCACCGCCTTGTTCCAGGGCTAGAGCGCCGATGATTGCGAGGATCGCTTGTGAGTAGACCAGTTCCGAGCCAGATGCTTGAAGACGTTCGGGCTGTGACGCGGTTAGTGAGGGTGAACCAGAAGAGGATTCGGTCAGAGTACATACATCCCTAGGATGCCACCGTACCACTTCCGGTAGACCGTATTGCTCTGCCAACGTCGATAGTTGCTTATGACTTGTAAACCAATGATGAGCACCCCCCAAGAGGCACTCTACGGACTCGGTCGCAGGGTGTCGAAAAGGTTGCCGTCCATAAGGATCCTGCTCCTCGCTCTTTGGATAGCGTGAAGCATCCGCGACACTTATCAGTCCTAGCGAACACTGGAGCTCGAGTATACGCTTGCCTGTAACCACCCATCAGTATTGCACCACGTAGAGCAGTAGGGAAAGGAGTATTCCAGTACCGAAAAATGCAAGCCGGTCATTGAACCCTCTCCGCCCAGCATCGAAACTCTTGTTTGTGACAGCTAGCCATTTGGTCTCTTCTGACAGCATTTTGTCCCCATCTCTTCCCAAAAACTTGACGTAGAAATCATCCAGCTTCCGCTGATCTTTGTTGATCTTGAGAGGTGTTTGTATCCGTGGTGGGCGTACGCGCACGGGGGCTTTCAGTGCAGGAGGAGTTTGGGACCAACGCGGAGGCTTCTCTGCGTCGACTTCCATTTCGGAAAATTGAGGAGCTGCGGTAGAAACATGGCGCGAGTGTCGGGGGGTTTTGCAGAATGCTTGTCGAAAGCGAAGATGGTCGCATGATGGACCTTGTTTGGAGGTTCGGAGGAGGTCACCGACGATGCGGCCAGAGGTAGAGGTTCTTGAAGACATGGATAATACCGGTGCCTCAAAAGCGTGAGTAATGATGGGCAAAAATCATGTTACACTGGCAGCACGCGCATTTCATTTCATTGAATCGGAGGTTGGGGTGATATTTGCTGTAGAAAATCGAGTTCGACTGCGTGCGAACAACCCCCCGTAGTGGCGGAGCGGATACCATTTAAGCGCAATTTACAAAGTTTACCACAAGATGAGCGTTTGATAACCCTTTTCTTTGCTCGATTGGTGTATGTACATGATCATGGCTCGGTCAACAATATGAGGTACTCCGCTCAGTACGTCCTCTTCTTCGGCGGCACCGTCTGGCATTCCTGTTCATCGAGTGTGGAAAAAATCACATCTCGATAGCCGATGGCAATGCTGTGGCCAACATCCTTCTGCCAACTCAGAGAATGGCGCATGAAGTTCTGGTCATCTCTCTCAGTGAAATCCTCTCGAGCGTGAGAGCCGCGCGACTCCTTTCTCTCGAGAGCACTCCTGGCAGTCTGTGCAGCACATGTCAAAAGGTTCCGCAGCTCCAATGTCTCCACGAGATCGGAATTCCATATCAGACTTTTGTCTTTGACGCAGACGTCTGTATTGAAATCGGTTTCCACTTGCTGCAGGTGTTCCAGGCCTGTCTTCAAACTTTCTTCTGTTCGAAAGACCGCTATGTCGTTCTGCATATTCTTCTGCATCTCAGCACGGAGCTCAGAGGTCAACTTCTTTCCATCTGCATTTCGTAGGTGTTCCAGGTCCACGAAACCCTCCACTCCCATTTGCGGCGAAATGCTGCCCCCATTCCTGAATACTGGCATGCCTTTCTCGTTATTTTCAGCGATGTGGCCGGCAGCAGCTCGGCCAAAGACGACAATGTCTAACAAGCTGTTTGCTCCCAGACGGTTAGCGCCGTGCACCGAGACGCATGCGACCTCTCCGGCCGCGTATAGACCGTTGACTGGGGTCTCTTCTCCGGTGCTTGGATTCACATCTAGAACTTGGCCTTTCCAGTTGGTAGGTATACCCCCCATACAGTAGTGCCTTCAACCGGTCAGTTTGCGTTTCTCGAGCAATAGAGGAAAGACTTACACGGTTGGTAGAACGGGGATCGGCTGCTTTGTGACGTCCACGCCCGAGAAAATACTGGCAGTCTCTGCGATTCCTGGCAATCTCTCCATAAGGATGTCTTTCGGCAGATGTGACAGTTGGAGGAAGATGTGATCCTTGTCTGGACCACAACCCCGGCCCTCTCTGATCTCCATGTTCATACTCCGGCTGACGACATCACGACTTGCAAGGTCCTTTGCTGTTGGCGCATAACGCTCCATGAAACGCTCTCCCTCGCCGTTTAGCAGATATCCGCCTTCACCTCTAGCGCCCTCTGAAATCAGGACTCCAGCGCCATAAATGCCGCTCGGGTGGAACTGTACAAATTCCATATCCTGAAGGGGAAGACCTGCTCTTGCAGCCATTGCTAAGCCGTCTCCGGTTGAGGTATGTGCCGACGTTGCACTAAAATAACAGCGCCCATAGCCTCCCGTGGCGAGAATCGTGTTCCTGGCAAAGATGCGATGAAAGGTGCCTGTTTCCATGTCGAGTGCCGTCAGGCCAATACAGTCCTTGCCGTCCATAATCAGGTCCAATGCAAACCACTCTATATGAAATTGACAGTTATGCTTGAGGGCCTGCCCGTATAAGGTATGCAGCATAGAATGGCCAGTTCTATCAGCCACACACGCGGTCCGATGGGCTTGTCCTCCGGTGCCGAAATTCAGACTCTGTCCTCCCAAAGGTCTTTGATAGATCGTGCCTTGCTCGGTGCGACTGAAAGGCATTCCGTATTCCTCGAGTTCTCTTACAGCTCTGGGGGCCTCGCGGCACATATAATGGATCGCATCTTGGTCACCCAGCCAATCTGATCCTTTGACCTGGAATTGGTTACTCTGGAAGTCCATTTCGAGGACGGTGGCATGACCATGGTTCGTGCATCACTGGGTAGGGGCCTGGGTGGTCAACTTACTGTATCGTACATGTGCTGGAGTCGATCAACAGAATCAATCAGCATCTGTCTTGGGAACATTGATATAAAGGCACTCTCGCCGTGCTTGTGACTTACCCATCTCCAGTCATCCTCGTGCATACTTTGCAAGCGTTAGTTGGGCCATATTAAACCGATCTGAAGAATGTGACTTACTTGGCCAGCGCAGCATTTATTCCCCCTTGGGCGGCCACAGTATGAGATCGAGTTGGGAACAGTTTGGTCACTACAGCCGTATCAAGTCCGCTCTCGACAAGACCTACTGCAGCTCGAAGCCCTGCACCCTATTCTCCCCTCAATCACTCATCAGTAGTCAGGTCAACGGGAAGAAAATCCAGCACCCCAGAAGTTGAGGCTCAGAGACAACGGCAACAATCCGCCCGAAAAATAGAACAACGCCTAGAAGCGGATTCAAATCACTTACTCCTGCACCAACTACCACGGCGTCATATTGGTGATCGATTACTTCGAATTTGTTATTCATAGCCTTCAGCGATGAGGTGGTCGCCCTCCGGCGCTGGTGGAGGTTGCGTATGTGAACTCGAGACATCCATTGCGGCGGCTGTCTTTCAGGAGGCTGATGAACCCTCAAAAGGGTTCGAGGTGAGAGAGATGGGCTTGAAGCCTGACGCCACGCTCTCGAAAGACACTGCATGTCATCTATAAGATGACGACCCCGTCTATATCACCCAAAACCGGAGATGCAAGCAGAACAGAGACTCCAGACAGGAACAAACGAGAAGGCAACGTCGAATCTCCGAGACAATCTCGAAACCTTGGTTTCGAGAGCGGTGGAGGCAGCCACTTTGCTAATTTGGGGAACTCCGAGATCGCTGTCTCGTCTCGGAGTCTTGCTATTATTAATACCTGCCTCCCCTTTGGTGCTCCTCGTTCACCCGAAAGACAGCAGCGCTTTGCAAAGTCTGGGGAGTCTTCGCGGAGGTAGCTGTCCCTAGGAAGCCTCACCACTTGCAGGGAGCGCCGATACCGACTCTTCCCTTGGTGCCATTGGGAATTTTCCCTTTCCACGGGCTATTCTCGCCGGACCTCGCTCGCCAAACGACTCTCCTCCTACAGGTGTCAATACCGTCAGTCGTGACCGAGTCATGGCCATGATATGGGGAGTCTAGCATCGAAGCAGAGGCAAACATGACTTGATGGCCGGTTGTGCCGCTTATTTGTGTCTTCCAGCAGACTCAAGGCAGCTCATTCACCCGAAGCTTGGACCTCTTGGGGTAGGTTTTGGTGGGAATTCGGCTATCCAGTTAAGCCAGGGTCAATGTTAAGCCTCTGATGGGCTGTGATGGCTCTGGCTTCGTGGGCTTCCGTCTTTTCCGGGCTCTGTTCATTTGGCCATTGGTTTTGCTACTCTTACCCGAACTTTTTCCTCTCACTCACCTTACGATCAGCGATCTTCTGCTTGTCTGATCTCTGTTGGGCGGTGAATCTAACGACAGGGAGGGAGGTTCCTCGTCGTGCTGTGGCTCTTCCTCTTCGTCTATCTTGTCTTTGCCACGCAACCTGCCACCAACCAATACCCTTGTTGCTCAGGGGGGAAGCACATCTGCACTGTCAGCCTGGAGCGCCACCAGGTCTCTTACTTCTACATATGCTAGCAGCATTCCAGCAGTTCAAGCTTTTCGCATTGGCTTCCAGGGCTAAGCTACCCACTTCCGCTCCTCCAGAGTCTTGATGCTCCTCACCTGAAGAACCTGAGAGCTCTCTTCATTGGCACAGTCAATGGTTCTCGCACAGTCCCGCCAGGGTAATATGTGCCGGCCAGAGATATTTCGGCTGGGCTTTCATTCCCCCATCTCTCGATCACTGATACCCACTTTTGATTTCAACGTCGCATTCCCTGCTAAAAGAAACTAGGAATGAGCCGGCCATGTCCGACTACGAGGTACGATGTCCGCGGGGTAAAACTTTTCCTCTTGTTGCTGTTTCCACATGTGATCGTGCGACCCCTCGCGCGAGTTGCGGAGCGATAAGACGATTCCCCCCTCGCCCTCGCTGAACATGTACTTATTACGGTAGGAGAGCCCGACCTGCCCAGAAAGCAGAATCCTCCTCCTTCTCCTCCTCAGCCTTGAAGTATACACTTGACGACACAACACCAAGCTTGTGTCGACAAAAGGTGGTGTTTGTTACTGGCCAAAGGTATAGTTCTGACTTCTTTTGATTATACTGTCGCTGTGCAGACCAGAGTGTTCTAGAGCAGGAATCTGGTGGTGTGACATTCTAGCATTTTGAAAGAATCCCTCGCTTATACCTATTCTTCTACCACCACAACAGCTCTCGTCACCATGCGCAGCTCAGCTCTTCTCCTCGCCTCCGTGGCATGCTCTACTGCGGCCGCCGAGACCGTCCTCGGTGTCTACCTCTTCTCCAGACATGGAGATAGGACTGCAAAGGCGACACCACCAACTGTTCTCACAGACCTTGGCTATGAGGTATGTTGTCGAACCACCGGGCTCTTTTGATCAGCTGCTCTTTCAAGATGGTAGTCGCAATTCGGCTAACATGAACAAATAACAGGAAGTTTTCACCTCGGGCACCTACTATCGCAACCGCTACGTCGCCAGTGATGGCAGCCGTCGTATCTTCGGCATCCAGCCCGACACGGTCAAGCTGTCTCAGATCACAGCATCAGCGCCTCTCGACAATGTGCTCATGCCATCCGCCATGGGTTTCCTCCAAGGCCTCTACCCACCGGTCGGCGCGACGTTGGGCAGCCAGACACTTCGCAATGGCACTGTCGTGCAGACACCTTTGAACGGCTACCAACTGATTCCCGTGCAGACGGTTGCCAATGGCGCCGGAAGTGAAGACGCTGCCTGGCTGCAAGGGGCGACAAATTGTGCCAAGTGAGTTCCTTGTCATTTCTTTCCGGAGTAGCATTACCTATTCCCTTCCTCCATCAAGAGTGCGGAGCAGGGCAGGCTGCTTGACACACTTTAGTGAGAAAGCTCTGAAGTGGAAGTGAACAAGAATATCATATACTAATGTGTTTATGTGGCGTGTTTCTATGATCTAGTGCCCAGATCAGCTCCAACAACTACTTCTTGAGCGACGAATACCAGTCCACCCTGAACCGCACAAAGGGCTTCTATGCGGACATGCAACCTTTCGTGAACCGCACCTACACCGAATCCCAGACCAGCTTCAAGAACGCATACACCATCTTCGACCTGCTGAACGTGGCCAGCATCCACAACGCCAGCGTCGCCCTCCCCGACGACGCCGACTTCTTCCAACTCCGCACCCTGGCCGACCAGCACGAATGGGGCCTGGCATACAACGGGAGCGAACCCATCCGTGCCGTTACCGGGTCGATCATGGCCGCTCAGGTCGTCGAGGCGCTCAACGGCACCATCGCGGGCAAGGGCAAGAACGTGCTCAACATCCAGTTCGGCGCCTACGCCGGGATGCTCTCGTACTTTGGCCTCGCCAACCTCACGGCCGCCAGCCCGCTCTTCTACGGCGTTCCCGACTACGCGTCCAGCCTCGTGTGGGAGCTCGTGACGAACGCCACGGTGGGGAGCGGCGCTGCCTTCCCTTCGGCCGACGACATCAGCGTCCGCTTCTACTTCCACAACGGCACCACCTCGAACATCAGCGAGCCGGTTGAATTCCCCCTGTTCGGCACCAACCGCTCCCCGATCCCGTGGTCCGAGTTCGTCGAGTCCTCGAACAAATTCGCCATCGGCTCGCAGGCCCAGTGGTGCAGCGCCTGCGGCAACTCCACCGGCGTGTGCAGCCCCAGCGCGCTGGGCGACGACAATTCCACGGCCGTCGGATCCTCCAGCTCCAGCTCGTCTGAGCACCACGGCGGCGGTGGCATCAGCAAGGCCGTGGCCGGCGTCATCGGCGCCATGGTCACCCTGGGGGTCATCCTCGGCGCCGAACTCTTGATCATGTTGGTCGGCGGCCTCAGACTCGTCAGCAAGCGCAGGCTTAACCGGACGGCGAGCAACGGATCCAGCGGCGTGGCGAGTGCGGATGCCCAGATCAAGGCTTGAGCAGGAAGGTAGCAAACACGCAAGCTGTGGGGTGGTGATAGTCTCGTTCCGCACCCTTTGCATCGCCTCCTAGGTGCCACCGCGCGGGGACAACCTGCAACAGAGATCAGAGAAGGAGAGGAGCTTCGCTATTTTGAGAGTTATGAGTCCGGAAATTAAATTCACATACCTGTGCAGAGCCTAATAGGAGAATGGGAGAGGGAGACCAGGGACTTGTACTCGTACGCTTGCACGACTAGCCCTTTGTCTCGTTGACATATCCGTCGAAAGATGCTGCTGTAGATAATAAACACAAGTAACATGAGATCCTTTTTTTTTCTCTCTCTCTCTCTCTCTCTCTCCCTTTTTCCTCGTCATTAGTGTTCCTCGCGCCCGGAGTCCAACTATAACTGGTGAGGGGCATTGTGCTGGCAGGGCAGGCAGGTAGCAGGCTCGACTGGATGAAAAAATCTTCGATCCGGAGTACCTGCGTACATGGGCTGGCACAAGCTGGCACGTTGGGTGATTGGGTGGCTGAGCACGTGATAATATGGCATATAAACAGTCAATCAACAAGTGGCTCTTACGATCTTCCGTATTCAAAACATTTGACTTGACTTGACTTGACTTGATGACCAGCCTGCGAGGACGCGGATGTGGACGCACTTCTCGGGCCGCCCTAGGAAAAGTCACTGTGCGACGTTTTTTTTTTTTTTGTTTTTTTTTTACAAAGGAATTTCTCAAGAAATCTGTCTCTCTCTCTCTAGAGAAAGGTAACAAGACATTCTCTCAATATGTACCGGTCAGGTCAGGTGCTGTGTCGACGGGTTTCCCTCGTCCCTGACTTCCTGACACAAGAGGCCCTGTACGGTAAAGTCGGCCCTGCTGTGAGTCTTGGGACGGGGTGTCTCGTCATTTTCACGTCCAGGCGGGGCCGGAGACGGCTTCTTGGTTGTGGTTGGTGAGTGCTGCGGCGGCGGATCATCGTCCATGTCATGTCTGACACAGTCGACCAAGGCGGCCGTCTCCTCCAGACTGGTGGCCGTGGGCGAGTCGTGCTCGGTCTGCAACAGGAACTGCACGGCGGCCACAAAGGTGACATCGGTGGGAGGAAGGGGTTTCTGATCACTCGCCGCGTCCGCGTCGGATGTCAATCTCAAGCGCTGGAGAATGCTGGCCGCGTCCCTGGGGGAGGAGTTGCGGAGCAGGTAGATGACGCGCTGGTAGCGAACCAGCCGCGCAGTCAGCGCCTGTATCTCCTCGGTGGATCCACGATGTTGCCGACGGTCGTGGGCCTGGTCGTATCTGCAGCCCGACGACCGTTTAGTGCACCGCTGGCAGGGCTGCTTGCCATCACACTTTGCCCTCGCCTGCTTGCATCCGTCGCAGGCGACGGTGACGTTGGTGCGAGCCCGTTTGCCGATTTTCGGGGATGTCATCATGCCCAAGAACGAGGCGGTCGTCAAACTCTGCAGCCGTGGGAGTAGGGGTCGCGGGACACTGTTGGAAGCATCGGGATTGAGTTGGTGTTGCGGAGGCTCTGCTTGACGAGCTACAGCGGTCGGCATCATAGTAGTCGTGGGCGGTCTTGCGGGTGAAACTGACATCTCGACAGACATCTGAGGCCTACAATCGAGAGATAAAAAAGAAAGAGATACACCCGGGCATATTCTGGGACGAGGGTTTCTCTGGATACCAAAGTGCCAAGGGGCCACGCGAGGGTCACCGATGAAGCGCATTTGCAGATTTACGGACAGACCCATATTTTTTTTTCCCTTTTGCCGGAAACAAGATCCAGCGGTCTGCCTGTCTGCTTGTCTGTTCCAAGGGGCACAAATATCAGATGAACACCCCCCTCCTGGTTGGGGGCCGGATATGTTTCGAACGATGACAACGACGACGGGGTCTAGAACCGTCTCTTATTATTTCTTATTATTTCTCGCCCTGGGAAACAAAAACAGAAACTACATATGCTCGATAAAACTCACTTGTTGTGTATGTATCTCTACAGGTTCCGGCGTGATGAGTTGAGTATTCTAGGGTCCCAAGTGGAACCACGAGTAGGTACTCTACATAGTAGGTAGGTGATCCTTTCAACGTCACGGCGGATACCAGGGGCGCAACAGGGGCTGCATTCAATGATAGTCGTGGAGGTGTTTCCGTCAAGAGACATGAAAATGATGTAACGGCCCGGATGGAAGAGCCGAAGCGACATGGTTGGCCGGTTGAGCATGTTGATGGACGCTATGTTGTGCTGGTGTAGGAGGTGAGGTATCCGGTAGGCCAACCAGTACTTGGTACATAGATAGCTACCAATGTGTTCCGGAGACTTGAGACGGAGGACGATTCTGCTCGCTAGTTCTATTTACGTAGTCCTTTACTCTAACAAGAAGGTATGTAGGCACCTCGTAAGAGGTACTCACGTAGATACACTAGCTGCTCCCACTCTGGCGTAAACGTTCATTACTCGCCACTTACGAGGTCCTCGTAGTTCCTATCCAAAATAGTCACTAATACCCCCCACTCCAGATTAACTTCCCCCCTCACTAATATCCTTGTAGTGATATCTCCGTCAGCACCTCCTCAGATGATCCATCCAATCATTTTCCCTAGAATCGTATTTCCGGTCATTGACTCGAACCTATCTCGTCTCCGTTTCAATTTCAAAGCTTACTTTTTTTTTTAGCGGCTCTTTCTTCCAACGGAGCACCGAGTTTCTACCCACAACTTGTTCATCCCGGAGTTATTTTCCGACGTGGTCGCTGGATGTTCGTACGCATCACTCTATGTACACACTCCACCACCACCACGATGGGCCAGGAGGAGAACCCGTTGATCGAGTTGCCTTGTCGCGTCGCGTCAACTCTACACTGGCACCCTGAACCTGAACCTCGCAACCTCGCAACCTCGCAACCTCGCAACTGCGCACGAGTCATTTCAAGTGGACGCGAGACGCGGGACGTGATGGACGGACGTGATGAAATGCACGAGGAGGTAATGTTGACGGGACTTGCCAAAACCGAAAACGGGCCTGCCAGCCTGCCTATTTTGGGGGGCGGCACGGACAACGGACAAACGGGGTCGCAGGCATCTCGAAGGTAGCCAAATTTGTTCCGACTGTATTTCCGGGTTGTATGTATGGTCTCTGCCCTCTACATACGGACATACGGGTATGGGCAGAACATCTTGCTGGGCAGGTTCTCCACTGGACCTCCACAGTCGGTCAGTCAGTCAATCAGTCAGTCAGTCAGTCAGATGCATGAATGAATAACCCCTTTCGTTATCTATTATCGTTCACGTCTCCGGAAACAGGACTCGGATCAATAATCCGGGACACGGGGGGTATGGACCATGTATGGCGCACTGGAGCAGGTAAGCAAGCATGCCTGCAGGCGGGGCAAGAAAGAAAGAAAGAAAGAAAGAAAGAAAGAAACAAAGAAAGAAAGGATGGTGTATCTCCCAGGAGAACCAACTAGATAGCAGAGAAGAGGCCTAGCACATCATACCATACCACACCTTACCTTGTCAAGCCTGGGCCAGAGAGAGAGAGAGAGAGAGACTCTCGAATGGCCGGCGTGTTGTTAGAGCATGAGAGTCGCTTGCACATACATGCCCATCAATCTTCGCCGCCTCACTGGACAGGTAGTACTTGTACCGAGCACACACGACATTTACGACATTATCCTCGCGTTGACAATTGATCAGGAAATCCATGACAACCACGAGAGGATATATAAGATGTGCCATGGACCGAGAAGCTCCCAGAATCCGATGTTGCAGCTCCTGCGGCGTTGATATTGGGACATAGCTTCCTTCCCCCTGCTCACCCTAGGCGCTCGCAGAAAGCATTCCCACCCTGTCAATGCTCGGGGAGAAAAATCGATTTCATTGCCATGGCAAGTCACATTTCACCATGAGTGAGTGTACCGTGTCACCTCGTCCACCCGCTGTGCTGTGCTGTGCTGTGTTGTGCTGTTCCATACCATATCACTTGTTCTTTTCTCGTTCTGTCTGATCGTCACCATCTCTGGACTCTGTAGTCAGGACAGAGGACGTCCCTGGGACTGAGACTGGGCCTGGAACTGGAATTGGGGAAGTGGGAATTAGTAGGGATTCACAGACCGTGGAAGAGTAAAGATGGACGGCACAAGCTCGAGTCTGAGTCTGAGCTTGGACGTGTCGAGATGAAAATGAAGGAGCAGCGGAAGAAGAACAAGGGAAAGAGAAGCACACTGTCAAAGCTCACGATATCGACCTGTCGGTAGGAGGAGGTTTTCACATTCCAACGCCCCTGATGTACGTATGTATGTATGTATGACCATGGGAGAAAAACGACAGCACGAAAAAGGAGGGGACCCTTGCACTAGAGTCTATACCGAGCCTATACCGAGTATATCTGGATACTCATGGGCTACGTGGCCAATTCAGGAACATCTAAGAGAACCATAACCCTGCGAGGTACTACACTGCTCGTATGGAGACAGGATTTACCTCGTCATATACGGACCCCAGATATAGAGAGAAATGCAATATAGAGTAAGATATCATGTTTGTAAATGCCCAAGCTGCTTCTGTTCATCTACACCACATGGGGTATCGCTAGATGTACCGAGTAATGCGTCTTCTTCTGGTCCGTCATAGCCACCTCTCCCATCTTTCCAATGGTGTGGGTCGGAAATATCACCCAGACAAAGAGAGCTTGCAATCTAGTCTCCTCCATTCTCATCCAAAACTCGGGCTGGTTACCCGCGAGACTGGTTTCATGTGCTTCCACGTGGCGACCTTGATGTAATTCCTGTAGCGCCTCTCTCAGCTCGCTATCTGGAAGAACATTCCGTCGACCCATGCCGGTCTAGACCGCTGAACTTCATGTGGCTCCACTAGATGCACCTGGTCGCTCTTTGTCCGCACCGCTTCCTCGAGAAGATAACGCAAACGAAAAACAAGTGCCAGAGGACACGTATCTTCTTCCAAAGAAATTGAGTCGAAAAGAGTCCAAAGAACAAGACTGGTGCATCAAAGGCCAGAGGCTTAGCGCTGGTTCTTTATTGTGCAACTTCGAAGACGCCCAAACCCGTGTGTCCTGTGTGTCCTGATTACCCGTGTGCATGTGAACCCAAATCACGTCGAAAATGCCACTCCAAGTACATTACGACACAGACAGAAAGAGGCAGGCGTCTGAGACGTATGTGGCAGTCTGCTAGTCTCCATTACCGAAAATAACTGGTTCCAGGACGGTATCTGTAGCTTTTGGTACCGTCCGCCCGCGTGTATATCAATGCATCGGCGAATAACTCCGCCTCTTCATCGTCGTCATCCCCATCGCCACTGACATCCGGTTCGATAATATCGCTACCACTCGGAGGGGGTGGTGGTGGACAATGGGCAGGAGGCATCCCAGGTCGAGCCCCATCTTTCAAGGATGTCTCTTGGATAGAGGAGCCGGGGCTGAATGTCCTCTTCATTGCTGTGGGTGCTGGCATATTGTATCTGAGACCTGGTGAATCGGGTTTGGACGTGCTCGCACCGGGAAATCTCAGCGGCGGCAGAGTAAGGCTTCTCTCGGTGTCTGGGGTCATGGGTCTTGGAACTGACGACTAGTTGGGCAAAGCAGAGGAAGGCTGCGAGGGTCGGGGGATCGGCATAGTGAGCATTGGCTTAGGCCGATTGTCGAATGATGGCCTTCGTGCAGGAGCTGGATTGTATACAGGAGGTGGGGGCATCGATGTGGTAGGTGAAGGTAGTACTGCACTAGGTGCCGCTATCGACGAGTGGTTGGAAGCCAACAGTCGCGCCCGCATTGCAGCGTCCTGGCGAGCCCAGAGGGCTTCGGCGGGATCTCGATTTTGTAACTCATTCTCGTGCTGTGTGCCAATGCTATTGCGACTGACTGATCTGGAGTGGTCGAGGTTGCGATAGGTGGGTTGGGGAGTGCCTTGGTAGGAGCTCGGAGCGTCATCGCCTTCGCCTCCAGACTTCTGACGTCGCTTTCTCTGCCGGACGTCTCTCCGAATCCTGACTCTGCAGCCTTGGTCGGCGACCATCATACTTAGAGCCGTGCTCTGATTGAGTCCTGGGAATTTCTTGGCGCTGTAGACCTGGAATGGAGTGGACAGGACTTCCATCCGATTGAAGACGCCTTCGTGACGGACAGGCGCCGTCAAGTTATCCCCGTCCCTCTCGGTGCGGTTAAACGGCTTTCCGATATCGGCATCCTGGTCGTGTTTCACCCCCTCGAACAGTGAGAACCTCAGCCGATACCAGCCTTCGTGTCTGACGGATAGATCTGGAAAGATGAAGTAGGCGGCTCGTTTCGGCTTTTCCAGATAAGCGGCACTGGCTATTGTGACACCGGCCAATACGGGAATAGCGGGCGGGACGTGCATTTTACCCCCTGCTATCGGCCGAGCAACTTCCAAACTGGCATAGAGCATGAAGGTGGCATCATACTGCATCGTGGTGTCGACATCATTGATAAACACCTTCAGTTCAACGACCGGAGGTGGGTCTACTGGTCTCCGGTCATTTGATGCTTTCGTACGTTAGTAGAGATTCTGAAAGGCGTTGCGGTTAACATACATCTGGGTCCAGATCCACATGCTCGAGCTTTTTCTGGCTGTTGCACGACTTCTAGCGAGTATTTGATGCACCTCCTGTCGATGGTGAACCTACTGACGGAGCTCCTCGTCTCGTTAGGAGGTTGCTGCATGTTGTATGATATACCGCAAATATTGTAGGTTCGAATGGGTAGGCCGTCAAGATAGAGGACCGAGATCCCCGGTACAAACAGGCCCGGTATGAAAGGACGTGGTTTTTGGGGTAGAATTTGTCGTAGATTGTTGATATCAAACTCGTGGCCCAGGTAGTCTTTAAGCGCTGGAAGGCCTTGATCCGAGTCACGAGTAGTCGTCGACGTATCAACTGGCGACAGTTTCTCCGGCAGGTTCTGGGCACTATCCATGTTGAGGGTGTCAGCGGCATCTCTATTAATGGGAGAAGACATGCTGTATTGGAGACAGGATGAAATCTAAGAAGCAAGATACGAAATACATGTAGACAATACGGAGCGACTCCAAGGTCCTGGAGGTTGGGCAATCGATCGAGAGGTATCCTGGAGCTCAGCCCCGCCAAATGGCCAGCGCGAATCCAACCGTCGTCCTCGAGTCTCTCCTTCCTTCTGGTAGCTCGAGACGCATACGGTAGACGCAGAAGACCGGCAACGCCCAACGGGCAAGAACACAAAGAAACACCACTGGGAAAGTGAAAAAGTACTGACCAGAATCCAAAGCTCCACCACAATTCAATCAGACTAAAACCTATCACCCGAGTCGTTTCTTCCTTGCTGGTTGTGCAATGGCTGGACCACGACGAAGTCCGGGTCTAGTGGTTGTCGAGTTCAACCAAGATGCCAAGCGGACAATGTTTCCGGATCGCATGCGCTCAAAGTCTGGATCCTGACGAATATAGACAACCAGAAGCTTAAGTTCCCTGTTATATCCTGCGCCGTTGAATCGAAAACGTATTCCGGTTTCTTCGCCCAGTGGAAAGGTAGAGGGATGACCGTGTCAGCGTGGACCGTGCCTTGCTGAATGTCCCAACAATGGTCGACCGCAGGATTCGGGTTTGGTGGAGGGAGAGCGGATGCGAGTTTTGCTTCGACACCAAATGCGACCGAGGGATGTAAGGTTTTTGTGAAGCCAGACGACTGGGACTCTTCTCGCTCACTGATTGAGCCGGACTATCACGACCAATGTTGGGAGCAGGTAACAAAATATCCTTTCCCTTCTAGACCCTCCAATGCCCGGAGACGGACAAAATCTAACACGAGAAGAGTTTGAAGGCAGAAGAGATGGAATGCTAGGATCGGGGGAGGGTGACTTTGGTAACAGTTCCCCTGCCGACGAGGCGAGCGACAGCGAGGGTGGGAATGAAGCAGAAGAGCTGCGAGAAGAGTGGGAAAGACTGAGAAGAAGAGGTGCAGATGGGGATGCAACGACGTCGCAGCCGGGGAGCCAGGAAGAACACAGCGCCAGCGAAAATATGGAAAAGCGGCACCGTCAAGCACCCAGACGCCAGGTCCATGCGCCGGCAGCAGCACCAGCATGGTAGGCGAAGCAGCCTAGCGGGCCAGCGGGCCAGCGCTGCCCTCCTGTCTCTGGTCAGTGGTCAATGGTCATTTAGCCCTGGTGGGCCCTTGTCGGTGCCCTGGGATGGTGCTTTTGGCTTTGGGCCTAGCCTGCGAGGAGGCTTTTCCCCATGGCTGCGCTCCACACCTCGTACGCCTAACAGGGTCAGAATCATGGGCCTCCCACTAACTGCCCAGCGGCCCAGTGCTTGCCCCCAAGGCCATTCCATTCGGGACTTTGGGGCGGGCCCGATACCCACTGCGATGCCCACTTCGAAGCCTGCTGTTGCTCCTGCTCCTGCCAGCTATTGTTATGAATCCTTCCCCGTCGGAGGCCTCCCCTTGTTCCTTTGCTTACTGTTGCCAACCCGGTTGTACTACCAGCAAGAAGGCACGGACTTCGACGAGCATGTGCACTGCAGAATGAGATTCTTTACAAGTACATCCTAGCGAATGACATTGGCAGACTCCTCGACTCTCAGGGGATGGATGGGTGGACATCTGTTGCTGGCTATCTTATGCCTAGTGTTAGACGATCCTGCTCGTACTCGCTAGCCTGGACTCTTGGTGTGTGGGCTAAATTGCGCACGTTCCCTCGCCCTTCCTCCAGGTGCATGGCCGCCATGAACACTTTGGGGAAAACCGCTCTGCACTTCACACCCCCTGGTGCAATTCGGTCGGTTATCACCCCCGCTGTTGTGGGCCTCACCAGTGGGACAAAGATGGTTGATTGGAGAGGTAGGGCAGATCCTGCGCTGAAAAAGCAAGAGGCATCAGAGTTCAATGTTGGAGCTTCAGCCGCTAGCAACAACTGCCACTGCCACTACCACTGCCAGCCTACCGCTTCGAGGCATTGCATCACTGCCAAAGTGAAAAAGACCCATGTTGTGGTTGTGGTTGTGTGAGGGTGCTTCGCCACCACTGGTTGATATACAAGCAGGTGGCATGTACGAGGTACTCGACAATACACTGTTTTGTTCACTACAATTACTGACCGTGTTGATAGACAACCAGGACCTTTCCGGCAGCATGACAAGTTTACTCGTCTACCTAGTCTCATCTCGGACAGCTGAAGATTCCGGTCGGTCCACGAGCAACATGCTTCCAAATGGCAGGGGGTGGGCTGATGCACAGGCCATAGGCTCGTGTTGGTCCTCGTGCTGGTTAATAGGAGAAGGATGCTCACACGGCTCTAGACTTTTGGCGTGGTTTTGGACTACTTTGATCTCATGATGAATCCTGGTAAAATTGCAACCCAGATTCGTGCGAGGCCGGGTTGTTGATCCCCAGCATGCATATCTTGCTTTGTGCGGCCAGATACCCCGTTGATGCCGTAGCACACGTGTTACCCTTATAAGGGGAGACTTTTGTGCCACCTGAATCTGTCACAGATTCTGCACTACGGACTCAGAGTCATACAAGACTGCCTGCACCCACCCATTTTGTCTTTCTTGGGCTCTCTGCCTAGAGCCGGCCGAAGCGGTCGCGACTCTGTGCAATAATGAATAATAATGTAGAGGAAATATTAAGGAAGCAGCTGACATATGGGATCATGCATACAGATGACGAGAGGATGTGCAGACCTCAGTTACTAGGATCGTTGACAGGTTTCAGCAAGTCCTTTTCAACGTGGTTGACAGGGAGTCCCAAGGACATGGCCATGGGAACGGCGATAGATTGCAGGGACAAACAAACTGGTTACCCGAGGGAGACGCCGAGTATAGAGCAGCCTAGTGAACCAGAAAGAATGGGGAATGAAGCCCACCAGAGGCACTCTCAATGGACAAGAGACACGCCCAGGAATGCCAATCATGGCCAGAGTCTCCGGGCGGTCCAACCCCCCGGGCGCACGCCTGAACCCGAAACTTGGGCGGACTCCAAAGCATCGAGTTTCGGACATTGGGCTGGTACTCTACCTAGGAAGTGGGAGGTGGGAAGGCGATCAACGACCCTTGGAACGGCAACGACCGGGGAGACGCGGGATCATGACCCTTTCTGTCTTGGTGCCCACAGTGGCTCTCATCCTTCGCCGCAACACCAGCCCGAAAGCCTGGAGGCAGAGCTCGCATCAAGTGCCAGGTGCTAGTAGTGGCCAGGCTACCAGCGTCCTGGCTCCATCGTTGCTCCGGGGCAGATGCCACCGAGAGACCTGGAGTTCGGAACGGCAACCAGCAGGCGCATTTTAGGCCTAGGCCTCCCCCTTCCTCCCCTTCCTTCCCCAAATCGAGTCTGGTCCTCAAAAACAAAATAACAAGTGGTCAGAGGCTGGAACTTGCCAGGGTGCTTGACTTTTGGTCCTTTAGTTCTCCCTCATGCATCAAAGCGAAGCCCTAGTCTGTCAAAGAAAGGCAACGGTTGGTGATTGTCTGTGTTAGCTGTGCATAAGTGCTTCTTGATCATTACTCGTATGGCACTACTACGAGTCCTCCATCCACACTCTTTACCAGCACCATGATTATCGAAAAGCCCATGCGCCGCGACACTCTCTTCCAGGCCCCTGAAGCCAATTCCCACACAACCAAGGACACGGGGTCGATAAAATTATCGCGTGCCAAACAGAAGCCTCAGTTGCCTCGCTTACAGAAGTGGTCGCAGATGCAACTCGAGCTCGGACTCGCTATCTCGTATCACTATTGTCTACCCCGTATACCTACCTCGTACCCAAGTGCCATCCCAGAGGTAACGAGTTAGAAGAGGTGGGAAGGATTATTACATGCCTTCCGAGTACAAAGATCGAAATGTTGGGGAATTGCGGAATTGTGGAAACACACACCTTTCTTCTCTCGTTGGCTTGACACTGCCTTTTGACTGCTCAATCACGGCTCCCGGATGAGACTTTGATTTCCACCTCCCCAAAAAACCTTTTCATTCTCTGTCCCACACCTTCCATCCATCAGAGCCACCAGAGCTGCTCAGTCCGCAGATCATCAGTGAGCTTGACACAAAATTCGGAGCCATTGAAAAAGTGGTCTCCTTTCTAATTCCTAAAGCCGAGCAGCGGCACAGGAGATCAACTACGGACCTACGGCTAAGCGATTCGAATGACTGTCCCCCGCTCACTTCTGGTACCTGCATCAGAGGGACGACTTCTCATCTGAAGCACTTTGGCGGTTAATCTTTCCCGACGGACTCTCCGGGGCTTCAGAATTCGTCAGGCACCCGTCCGCATGAGCACCAGCATCCATTTGAATGTCCACGGACACGTCCAACCAGGTCGACAAAGTAAGTTCCCGCTGTTTCCCACGCTTTTGACAGGGCTTCGACCTCCCACTTCGCCGTTACACCCGAGTTGCCCGTCTAGGCCAGTCCAAGGAGTGCCAACCTTGGCCTGAACTGCAATGAGTGGTGCAGAATTTCTCCGGCAGACTCAATAGTCTGGACTGACTCTGGACGAATCACAGCCCACGAACATGCTTCTGGAATGACTTTTCAGATTCTGGAATCGGCAGTGACTTGCGGCCTGAGGGGGTGGGAAGTGTCAGGTTCGGTCTCAACCTGCCTACCCCATGACGCGACAATACTTGATGATTGGTTCATCAACTTGGCCCTCCTTCTCCGGCTCAGGCTGGCTTTAGGTCAGAAGACAATATACTGGGCAGTGGCTGACTGGACAAGAGGTGGCGGTCGTCCATGCGTCCTTGTGATGCTTGCTGATCGCAATCTGAGGGTGTCCTGCAACACACAACAGTCTTCTCGATGCTGATTAGTGGAAAGTAATCGTGTCTTTGGGAGTCACTCTCCACACCGGCAGCATGATGTCTCAACACCAGCATAATTTCATATTCAGCCCGATTTGCCAAATCCGACTGCTGAAAGATCAAGCACGTCAAGGTTATTCGTCGGCCTCGTTGATTCACTGATCCTCGAGCTCCAATTCATTCCGACAACCGTCCCGAAGAACAGGGGGCTCCACGATTCAGAGACTCGCAGCCGCTGCCATGTCATAATCAGCATCCGAATTTGACATATGGCTGGCTGCGTTGCGGAGCGGATACAACCTCACTGCAACCCAGTATGTGTTGCCCTCCGCCCACGGTCCCGGTCTGTGTCACTCAATGGACTTTGAATCCTCCCACGCCACCAAAAGTTGCCTTTTGCGAAATCTGATACGGTTGAGAGAGGGTCTAGAATTCGCTTTGTACATTTGACCAGACCTCAAAGCGATTGTCGTAACCGTCGTTGACGCTCAGACTCCGTGCTGACACATGCCTTGTCGAAGGTAGGTTCTAGTATGTCAGTGTTTTGAGCCACCTCCTGATCGTTCACCAAATCCTGTCCCCCAAAGGTCCCTGAAATTAACGACAGTACACTTGGTCTTCACATAAACGAGCGACCACACTATACCTTATGCCCAAAGAGGCATATTTCCCCCTGAACGGGTTCAAACGTGTCCAAGATTCCAGTCCTGTCTTGGCCAGGGGGCAGCATCTCATGGATATGTCTAAGGTGCAGATCAGACAGCGCGTTTTGCAGGTTATGTTGGTTCTGAGCATAGGTCATTCGGTGGTGTCATGTCGCAATGCAGTAAAACATTGTGACTAACTCGAACATTGCATTTGACGAAATAGGAAAGTCTTCTACATATCTTATATGGAGTACTACCACACCGTCCTACACATCAAACTCCTCTGGCAGGTGTCGAGACACCTAAGGGATCAATCAACACTCGCCACCGTGGCGTTCTCAATGCTCTAGTCCAATGCCGAAATTCTACTGAAACGATACTTCTACAGTATCCTCCTTCTATACCGCCGTTGGCTGGCGAAGCAAGCATTCTTTTCCTTCAGAGAGTGATGGCAGTCTGTCGGCGCGCTACACACATCGCCCGCCATCAACTTCCAAGTTAACACCAGTGATAAACTCAGCCTCGTCGCTAGCGAGATAGCAGCAAGCGTTTGCCACGTCTTTTGGTGTACTTCCTCGTCCAAGCGGAATGGTCGAGACGAAGCCCTTTCTGTTCTCTTCGGTGTCGGGCTTCCCAATAAAAAGATGTGTTCTTAAGGGGGTTCAAAAGTGTCAGCAGTGAGAACAAGGCAACTCATGTGGTGCACAGAAGGATGAATAAACAAGGGAGAGACCCACAACCCGGTACTGCCCACGACAGGACAAACGGAATTAAAGCGAATCTGTTTGGGCCCATATTCCACCGCCATGGTCTTGGTCGCGTTGCTAACAGCGGCTTTAGAGGCGTTGTACCAGGTCAAGCCGGGGCGCGGCCTGACGCCCGCCGTCGAGGCGATCTGGATAAAACAGCCCGGTCGATTCTGCTCGATGAAATAAGGGAGCAGCACGCTGCTCGACAGGTAAATGCTCTTGACGTTGACATTGAAGCACAGATCGAACTCGTCGTCCGTGACGGTCTCTGTCGGCTTGTTCTTGTAAGTGGTGCCGGCGTTGTTAACGATTATATCGAGACCCCCGTAAGCGTCGATGGCCTTTTTCTGTAGTGCCTCCCAGTCGGCGCGCTTGGTGACGTCGGCAACCAAGAATTCGCAGCCCAGATCTTGCGCGACCTTGGTGCCATTCTGCTCCGACAGATCACAGATGAGCACCTTTGCGCCCTCTTGGATGAACTTGGTCGCGATACCGGCACCAAAACCCGACCCTCCACCGGTCACTATGGCCACTTTACCTTCCAAACGGCCTACCATCGTGTCACCTGTATTTTGTGGAATCTGTATATAGAGAAACAGAAAAGAAGATTTTTCGCAATGGGCTTGAAAAAAGAAAAAGGATAGGAGGCAACTACTTTGAAGCGAGGGGGGACAAGAAACAGAACAGCCTACCGAAGCAAAATTCATATATATACCGAGTACTCGGTACTTTGTGTATGGGCCCCCTCGGTGTGATCCCGGGGAGCACCGCGACGCAGCCTCGTCCCCCTCGTCCCCCTCAGTGGGGAGGACGGTGGCACGGTCCGGTCGGTTTCTCCATGTTGATGGACTGACTCATCTTGTGCCTTGTCCATTGGTAGGAGGTAGACAAGTACGAGGTAATACAGCCCTTGTGTATGTGAGAGAAAGAAGGAGATAGAAGAAAGCGGTACTCGTCTGGACCAAGTAGCTTCGGAAGCACCAATTGCACCAAGTACTACTGTGACGAGGGAGTTGCTTTCCCATGGCTCTCCCCCGCCTAGCCACTCGCTAGGTGTTGTCCGAAATCATTGGTGGGCGAAGTCGGAACGAAACCCCTCGTCGGGAAACACATCCGATGGGTTTGGGAGTGGTTTTGTTTTGTGAGGGACCGACCATATCGACCGGCCGTCCGTGGGTGGGTGAGTGAGTGTGCCGTCAAGGTATGTAACATATACATGGCCAGGTACGCCCTCTCATCAGCCACTCCTGTGGCCAATATCGGAGGATTAGAGAAGACAAAGCAAGAACAATGACCGGTTCGAGTCGTGTGGTTGATATGATCGCATCCTTGCCAACAGTGACATCAGTGTCTCAAATAGATAGGTTACCTACGACAGAGTGATGCATGAATATCAATGTCGCCTCTCACTCGAAGCATTTTGTGCCTCTCGTCAGTTTGGAACCCTCGGGAGAATCAATTTACTATCAGGAAAAAGAGACCAGACCACACCAGATCATCACATTTCTCTAAGAGTAGCAAGCGAGGTGTCGGGTATCGCACACCATGAGCCAGAGCCAAGTCGTCGGTCCCAGTATATCTGGACTGGCCTCGTGGGCGCTCCAATTCAGCCCGACCGCGTGGTTCAAGTCGTGGCTCTTGTATTTGGGGATCCAGACGCATGTGCGAGGGACGATTGAGCCGGAGATGAAGCCACTACACAACGTCTGCGAATATCTGCACGCGCTGCACATCTACACGGACGAGGCTCGACGGGGGGAGGTGAGGACCGTTTCGGCCCATCACTTTTGCTCCCACGTCAGTAAAGGTCGGTTAAAGCGCCCTTCTCCCCTCCTTCTCTCGATAGATCCGACCGTTGCAACTCTCTGACCGCATTCACTGATATCCCTCTGTTCGACAGATCTTCGACAGTGCCTCATCTACGACTCGTGCAAACCCGGAGCGAGACTCATTGGCGTCGAGTTCATGATCCCCAAATCCCGCTACGAAGCGCTCGACCGGCAAGAACAACGGTACTGGCACTCGCACGAGTTCGAGGTCAAGTCCGGCATGCTCGTGCTCCCGTACCCGGAGTCCCACAGGCGCCGGAAAGACAAGTGGGACGCCCTCGAGACCAAGGCCATGGAGGAGGTCGTCACGCTCTACGGCAAACTGTACCACTTCTGGCAGGTCGACCAGGGGGACGAACTGCCACTGGGTCCGCCGACGCTGATGGGCTCGTTGACCGAGGCGAGACAGCTCGACGTGGACGCGGCCATGAGGGAGAGGAACGAGGACTTGGGCATCGATCAGCCGGGGAAGCGTAAATTGAGAGAGGACATCGAATTGCCTGGCGTCTCAGAGAATGCGGACAGTTGGTGGAAAGAAGCTCAGCGCGAGAAAGTCGGTATCTACGCTGCGTGACGTTGACCGCATCCTCTCTGTTTACAGTACTTTGTGTGGTATTCGAAGTTGGAATATGAATACATAATGGGTTTCCTAATTATGACTTTGTTGTTTGAAATGACGTATCCCGTTGTCTTGCGCCCCTCGTCCAAATTCCACTCCTGTTCGTTGCCGCTGTCAATATTATCAAACCACCAAATACCTCGTAATTTTTGTCGTGACTCACTTACTATAGGAGTTCTTTGTGTGATATTTTGACTTATCCGGGTTCTCTGCAGGCAGAAACCCCCAAGCAATCCGAGTGTGGTCGAACATTCGCTTTTCCCACATACAAAATCGTTCCACGTTGTTTCACCTCCCCGCACTGAACCTGATCACCCTTCTCGTGCAGTCGCTCCGAGACGATCCTTTGATTCTGAGTGTCAGCCCAGTGTCTACCTCGTACTCCCAGCATCATGTTCAAGAAGAAGCCCCAGATCAAAAACCTCTCGCCCCTCAGATCCTCTGATCGCCGCAAACTCGCAGACCAAATCATTGCCGACTACAAAGTCCATGTGCCTACTCTGGAAGAGATCGATCCCGACGCGGCGACCGCAGAGAACACTACCCCGGCCTCCTCGATTCATCATCCGACTCCTGCACTCACCTCCGTCCGGACGAGTCTTGTTCCCGAGACATGCCTCTCCGCCCGCTTCACAACCCACGCGGGGGCCAATGCAACGTTGGTCTCGGGAACAGTGTACGTTGGTTCACACCCCGGCCAGGAGGAGAGGATCCTATGGATTCAATATGGAAAAGATTCGAGGCTGTATCCAACCGTGTATACATTGTGGCATAACCCAGGGATCGTTCCCTTGCTCCATACCCCAGATTTCGTCGTGGAGAAACTGCGCACAGGAGCCGATCTGATGACGCCGGGACTTGTTGGTGGACCACCGTGGCCCGACGCTGCAAAACCGGGGTCCGTTGTTGCGGTTGCAGGCTTGAAGAAGCCGACTGTGCCTCTGTGGGTAGGCACATGTAAAATCGACATATCGAGTTTGGGGAGGGTACAGGGAACAAAGGGCGCCGCGGTCGAGGGCGTCCACTGGGAAGGGGACGAGATCTGGAACTGGAGCCAGTTTGGGAGTGGAGGTCGAGCCAGTCCAGAGACAATAGACGGATGGATCTTTCCAGATGGTGACATACAGGATGGAGTCGAAAGGTTGGATCTCGGAGAAAGCGACGAGGATGATGACGTGCAAGAAGAGGGCGGTGTCACCCTCGATGCGTCGAAAGGAGAAGCCGACAACGGGAATCGTGATACCAATGGACTCGGCGAGACCCAGGACAATGAAGCAGAGGCGGATGCAGAGGCAGACCGCGAACCATCAACCGCCGAAGTCGACGAAGCATTTGTGCAAGCCTTTCTGTATGCCCTCTATGACGCTAAAAAGGGCGGCGACCCTCCACACCACGGGCTCGACTTTCCCATACAACCATCTTTTCTGATATCCAACATGGTACAACCACATCTCCGCTATCAGAACCAGCATTACACCATCAAGAAGACATCGTGGAAGAACACCAAAAAGTTTATCAAATACCTCGAAAAGCAGGTGCTCGTCAAATCCAAAGATCGCAATGGCGGAGAGACGGTGATCCTGGACGTCGATTTCAACGATCACAGAGTCGTCGGCTTTCAGCCGTACAAACTACCCAAGCCCAAAACCCAGACGACGGCAGCGGGCAGCTCGGACACCGCACAGTCTTCGGCTAGCGGAGGCGATACCTCCCTTGGGCAGAAGCTGACACTCCAGACCGTCTATCGAGCCTCGAGCAAGCTGGTGCCAGATCTGATCCCCTCCAAGACGACATACTACACGTCGTCGCAGATCTCTTCGTTCCTCAAAAGGTACATTGAGAATGAACCCAAGCTGACCGAGAAAACCTCGTCCGCGCGCTTCATCAAACTCGATCCTTTTATCGCAAACAACATCCTCAGCTCGAACCCCAGCGCCGCCGACACCCGCGCGCTGGCCGCGGGGGAGATCGCGCGCGACGCTCTCCTCAAACGCATCCTCGAAGACACCCACCTCTGCATCCCGCACTGGCTCCTGCTGCGCAACTCGCAGACCTACGACGCCGACTCACCCGATCCGGGACTGTCGAAGCCCAAACCGGGCCCGCCGCCCCAAGTCAGCATCGTGATCGAGAAACGATCGGGGACCAAGGTCGTGACCAAGATCTCGGGCCTCGAGGTCTTTGGCATCAACCCGCACATCCTGGGGCCGGAGCTGCAGAAGAAATGCGCCGGTTCCGCCAGCGTCGGCCAGCTCGTCGGCGGCAAGCCCGGCGTCATGGAGATCCTCGTCCAGGGCGACCAGAGGGACGTGGTCGAGAAGGAAATGGTCCGCAGAGGCGTGGATCGGCGCTGGCTCAGCGTCGAGGACAAGACCAAGAAGAAGAAGAAATAATTAAATGCCGAGACGCTTTGAATATTTGAATGGTTTTTTCCAGCCAAAGAAAAGTCCTTGTGAATCCTCCATGTCTGCGTCTCTACGAATCACTCGTGAGAACCGTCTGGTAGGAAGATGTAGGCCTCGAGGTACGAGAAAGGCATGGCCTCGTTAGTACCGCCGTCAACTGTCTCTTCTGGATATTGATATGATGTTACGGGAATAGCTTTTTGATTGGATATCACCGTCGACTTTGCAGAGGGAGCTAATCAAGGAGCTTTGGCGACGTCAAATACACAATGACCAAAGGCACACTAACGTCTTGAACATCAGAAATGATATTAATGTATTCAACCTAATCAACGCCTATCCCATGGAAACTCCCCCAAAGTTCCGTAAGCCCCCAAACAACACCGACACTGGACACCAGACTCGCCACGTCGTGTAAACATAGACAAAGGTCTTCTAAACCACCGTAATGGAATACCTCGAAGGTTTCCCGTGAGAGAAAGCCAAACACTGCAGGTTGGCAGAAAGTTCACAAATCACAAAATGGCGGCCGCGGGAATTGTACTGCGCACTGGCCGGAGTCGAAGAATAGATCATCACAAAGGAACATCATATTCGTAGCAAAAGGGACCATCCGTGGTGCTGATAAGATCTCGCACCGCAATCGGCGCTTCCTGGAAGTATCCCCAGCTAGGAAGGATAGTGTCGAGTGTGACATTGTCACTCGGTGGAAGATTGACAGCCGTTTGAGTACCAAAGAGGGTATCTGCGATATCAGGGTGGCGGAGCTGCCACGATGTGTATAGATTGTCCAGGAAGGCGTGGAGAGCCCACCAAATGGGATCCATCACCGAAACGTAGATCGACGAGCCAGGAGATCCCACGACGAAATGAGCACCAGAATGCAGTCCCAGTGTGCCACCGCCAATAACGCCATTGATTTGAGTGTCAAAGGACTCCATATCTTCAGCTTCCAAGCACAGTTCGAGGGCAGTGGTGTTAGTATAAGTCTGAGCGGCATAAGTGTTGAGGTCCCGGGTGAGGCAGCTTTGGTTCAACTGGAAAGCTGTGTCTGGTAGTGGAAGACCCTGGATGATGTAGCTGGTAGGGATAACCTGCATGGTCGTCTGCCAGTCGGCAAAAGGACCAGACGTGACACAACCTCCTCCTGATCCATGAGGAAGCGAAAGAGAGGGCGAAAGCACTACGGGGCCACTGTCGACGTATGCACCGTCGCCAGACATAGAGTAGTCGGATCCGTCAAAGACTGCGCTGCCATGAAGATTGTCCGCAGTCGCAGGCCAGTTCCAGTAGGGGAATGCACCAACGTAGCCACACTGGTGTTTCAGGTCTTCCTCAAACAGATGGAGGAAATAGCGATGCCAGGTCAGGAAGAAGCCAGATAGATGGACCTCTCTTGTCCGGTTGACGTGAATAACGGCATAGTCCATGTAACGATTTGTAGCGGCAGGGTAGAGGGTTTGATCGAGTTGCGAAGGCTTGCTCGCCAGGCATTTGATGGCGTCGGTATAGGCTTTGCGTTCTTGAGGAGCCATCGAATCGAAATCCTTGCGGACCTTGATTCTATCTGGAGTACAACCCGCATTGGGACGTTTTCCAGGAATGCCGTATCGTCCCCTTCCTGGTCCCCCCCATTCCGGTCCTCGTCCTGGTCCGCCTCTGACGGGTGGCATGGCCACGGTGAGTGAAGATAGTGCCACTAGGGCAACAGTTATGGATGAGAAGAACATGTTGGGCTAGTTGTGGATAATTGGGGAATTTGGATCAACGAGTGTCTATGGTGGTGGGATGGAATGAAAGATGGTTGGAAGTGAAAACGAGTGGTAACCGTGACTCTGCAGACCAATTGATTGCAAAACCAGCAGATCTGGTACGGAAGATGGGAAAGTACCACTGAGGGAGAGGGAAAAGATGAAAGAATGGTGGTTGAGGTCCAGCTCACTAGGTGGGAGGCAACGCCTTCCTTTTCATCTCAAAGGCTGCAATGGATCGACATCCATACCAAGACCTCCGTGATTCCGTGATTCCGGAAGGAACAATCATGTGTGTGGGTGGACCACTGAATACGTTGACGAAGAAGTCGAAATGTCCGATGGTCAGTCAATATTGGAGGCTGTCGAGGTGGATACGCTGAGAGACAGCATCAGCATCAGCCATGGCCAAGGCATGTCCATGTCCTGCAACGCGGCAAGATGACTTCTTGACTTTTTTGAATGACGAGTGATAGCTGTATCGACAGTGGCTGGCGTCAGGCGACGATGATAACCGGAAAAGGGGTTGTTGTGGTCTTGGTGTTGTTGTCCCTTTTTCTCCGGATCTCCATATTTAGCAGAAAGCTTCATTTTCTTTCCCCCCCTCGAGTCGAGGCGTCATGCATTTCACTTTCAAACATCGGAAGGCAACGCCATCCGCATGTCGATCGCCATCTTCCCATAACCTTAGTTTGATTAATATTTTCCCTCTGCATTTGTCCGACCACGGCCTCGCTCTAGAGGGGTGGAGGAGCCAAGAAGGCCCCCGAGCGGGATTCAGAATACATCTACATTATAA